GTTGGTGCAGGACCGGGCAGTGTTTCATTCTGTTGTACATAGGGTCGCTATGAGTTGATACTGACTCAATGGCACCTCACAACAACATCAGCATCCAGTGGAACACTCAGTGATCTATGAGGCCTAGCCTCCACATTGGAGATGGACTAGCTCCCTCATTGTGCAGGGAGGATGAAGGAGGACCCAATCTTTTCAGGCTGTTGTGAAGATTTGTTGTTAAGTGCCCTGGAGTCAATTCTGACTCATAGTGATCTTTATTGGGTTTCCTAGGAGTGAATGATCGGTTTGCTTATCCTACAGCGCCACACCAGGTCTCTGTTGTGAAGATTTGCTGTTGTTAAGTGCTGCTGAGTCGGTTCTAACCCACAGTGACCCTGTATATGGTTTCCAAGGAGCAACTGGTGAGTTTGAACCGCTAACCTTGTGGTTCAAACTGATTCTGCAATTCAGTGCATTAGCCCACAGCGCCACACCAGAACTCCATTGTGAAGATTGTTGTTGTTGTTATGTGTCATGGAGTCGGTTCCGACTCATAGCGACCCTGTACAGGGTTTCTGAGGCTGTAAATCTTTATGGGAGCAGAAAGCCTCATCTTTCTCCAGCGGAACAGCTAGTAGTTTCGAACTGCTGACCGTGAGATTAGCAGCCGATTCACAACCACTACGCTAACAGTTTTATTTGGACATGCTTCAAATTTTAATCTGGGTCCTCTTTCCCCGGCAGCTGGGAGCAGGGGTGGCTAGGTATTACAAAGTCGGTTCCGGAAACAGGGGTGTTTCCAAAGAGGATAACGGAGCTTGGTCATGGTGGGCAATAGCTTCCTTCCTCGTGAGTACCTAAGTTCTAACGGGAAGGAGTCTCTCGTAAGCTATGTACAGCAGTTTACACGTCAGTGTTTTGTGTTCACGTGATATACAATGTATACCGTAAAATTAACATATGACAAGTGCTTGTCACTGAAATTCATGTAGGCACAGAGAAGTTGACTTTGCCGGAGCTTTACTGGAGGGGCGAGGTCTTCTGCGGGATCATGATTCTGGATTCCATTTCCTGAATGAGCGGGACTAAAAACAGGAACCAGGTTACCGGGCTTGTCCTTGTCTATAGATTATGGCAGACATACATGGACAGACAGAAGGGCACGTTGGAAAATGAAGGGCTGGCCTTGGGGGTTTTCCTGAGCTAATGGCAGGTCAGCTCACATCCTCTAAGAACCGAGGATCGATTCTGACTCACAGCAACCCTATACCTGAGACTATAAAGCTTTATGGGAACAAACAGTCTCATTGTTCTCCTGAGGAGGGGCTCGTGTGGCTGACCTTACAGTTAGCAGCCCCAAACTTAAGCTGCAGCGCCACCAGGACTCCCCAAGATGCCAATGAACTGGAAACAAATCTTGCCTGGAAACTGTCTCATTTCTGGAAAATTAGGAAAGCTTCATGTTGTGAGAAAAATGGTGCTTTTTCAACAGAATCTTTGAATATGAGAATGTCTCCTGCACAAGGCCAGGCAGACCACACTGGTCCGCTTTGCTCAGGATAACACACCTCTGGGAACCAGTGGAAAGTGTAAGAATAAACAGTGAAACCACGTGCAATGATATGACTTTGGAACTAGAAAACAAGACAGTATTAATCTTCTAGAATAAACGACTCTTTTTCTTGATAGCATAGGGTATGGAAATTTTCTGTGCCCATCAAGACTGGCAGTCTTGGAAACCCTATACTCAGAGGTGGAACCGACTTGCTGGCCCCGAACAACAATAACACAGAGTTTAAATAATTCACTCGACATGCAACATGGCTGGTATTTATTACTTGTATCTGTATCACTGAGCTGAAAATTCAGCCCAATGATTTCCTTTTAACTATCAAGTGATTTTACACACATGTACACAGGAGCCTGGGTGCACAGTTGTCAAATTGCTTGGCTGCCAGCTGAAAGGCTGGCAGTTCAAACCCACCAGAGGCTCTATGGGAGAAAGATGTGGCATCTGCTTCCATAAAGACTGCCTATGGGGCTGTCCCAAGCCTGTCCCACAGGGTCACTGTGAGTCAATGGCAATGAGTTTTTTGCATATGTAAACACACACATACACATATACACAAGGAAAGACTATCAAATTAGTTTTCAAAACTACTGTTTATAATGGACACATTAAATTATGTTCTGGGGGATGGGCAAGTTCTATGATGAAGAGAAATCTTTAAAAATTAGTGCAATGAATTTTCAGAGAACATAGAATTCTATGTAAAAAAAAAAAAAAGGTAATGATGTAAAATTTAGAACCTACAAGGGTCTGAGAACTGTGACAATATGCATATTTGAACCTACAAGGGTCTGAGAACTGTGACAATATGCATATTTGAAAAAGGAATTATTTTCCTTATTGAAAAAAAAAATCATGTAACCCTTAAAGAACATTTTGATTACCTTTCTCCCCACCAAAGAAACCTTATAATTAACATCCTAGCAGCACAGTAAGAAAAAGAATATTTTGTGCCCATTAAACCATTACCTGTGTAATAGACCAGTTCTTCCCAGCCATGTTTATGCCATGCAGCGTTTCGTATATCTTCTCGGGTTTGAAGATCCTTGTAAGCTTAAAAACAACCACAAGGACTTAAACATAAACACAATGTCCCACGTTCCACTCACATTAACTGTTCTAGTGTTGGTTGGTTTAGGTGACCACAGAACTTTCTCAAAGGCACAGATTTGGGTGTGAGGTACTGAACTAAACTGTACACTGGGTACTCTTGAGAAAAACTGCAGAAAACATTGTAGTAGGTCTGATGGGAGATAGAGAACAGTTCACTCTCATGCTCTATAGTCTAGAGAGTCCACGAAAATGATAATATGAAAAACCACACATTAAATTCATAGCCAAAAATGATCAGACCATTGACAGGCAATACTGACTTCAATCTGTTTCAGGCCTACCACCATCAAGTCAATTCCGACTCATAACGACCCTGCACAGGGCTTCTTCCACGGCTGCAAATGTTTGCAGGAGCAGAAAATGTCATCTTTCTCCACTGGAGCAGCTAGTGGGTTTGAACTGCCAACTTTGCAGTTAGCAGTCAATCCTACAGCCCCACCAGGGTTCCTTGTGTTCCAGGCAGTGGAGAAGAGACTAGTAAAGGTGGGTGAAGACCTGTGGAGTCTGAGGTCAATGAGGGAATGCACAGCAGACAGACGCCAGGGAGAAGAGCTGGGCAGGAAGGTGTGGTCTGGCCAGGGCAGTCTTGAAGGCTGGCCAGACATCATGGGCTTGCAGGAACACAAGAGGAAGGCATAGACAAAGACACGACACGGTCCTTGGTTCAATGCAGTGCCATTTCACAGACACCTTTCTGGATGTCCTGGACTCTAATTCCCAACTTGAGCAAAAGCCTTCCACCTACTTAGCAGGAAAATGCCTCACTGGCATCCTGATCGTCCCAGGCTATCCCTGGGGCCCAGTTTCTGAGCAGCATTCCTCTGTCCTATGAGGAGACCTCCTCTTGTGGGCCTATCATCTCACACCAACTCAAACCCAAACAACCTCTGTTACTGTGGTTAAGCACCTTAAGACCCTGTGTAGGGTTTCCAAACAGCAGCTGGTGAATTTGAACCACCCACTGTTTGGTGCAAACTGACCTTGCAGCTAGCGCATTATTCCACAAGGGCTTCGCAAACTGCCGCTGACAATTAATAATGGGGTAACAGGTCCTGGTGGTGCAGTAGTTAAAGCATGTGACTTCTAATGGAAAAATTGGAGGCTCAAACCTACCAGGTGCTACATGGGAGAAAGATGCAGCAGGGCGGTCTCTTTCCATAAAGATTTAGTCTTAAAAATATTATGTAGCGGTTTGGGTGATAGCAGCGAAAACCAGGTAGGGGACTCTCCATTGTGAAGGGATTGGGATCCCACAAAGGAATCGCTCATATAACAACTCCAGGATGTCAGTTACCCACACTCGCAAGTGAAAAAATCAAGACAATAAGGAAAATACTGTGAGTTAGGAATCTGGAGACAGGATTCCCTCTGCGGCCACGCTGCCCTGGCAGAGTTTAGAGGGCGGGGCTACAGCCAGTCTACAGCCAGTTGGGCTGAGAAAATCAGCCCTAAAAACCCTGCGGAGACATTTGCAAAAAAAAAAAAAGAAGCACCAGAGCCTACACATTTCTCCCTCTTTTTCCCTGTCCCGCCTTCATTGCTCAGCCCAGACTACATCAGGCGGGACAGTTGGGAGAGAAAAGTTAGTAGACTATAAGGTAACCCCAAAGAAAGTTAATACTTCACAACTTACCATGAAAATGAACTTCCAAGCAGAACAAGCAAACATGAAAACTAAAAAGAAACTGACAAGAAATAGCACAAAAAACACAAACCCAACATAAGAAGGTATGCAGAACAAAAGAACAAACAGCACTACCAAAAAAGTAACATAAGGGCAGCAATTAATTCATACCTATCGATAATTACATTAAATGTCAATGGATTGAATGCAACAGTGAAGAGACAGAGAGTGGCAGAATGGGTAAGAAAACAAGACCCTTCAATATGCTGCCTGCAAGAGACACACCTTACACACAAAGACAAAAACAGACTAAAAGTTAATTAAAGGATGGAAAAAAATTTACCAAGCTAACTGCAACAATAAACAAGCAGGAGTGGCGATACTAATCTCTTACAAAGTAAATTTTAAGATAAAAACCAACAAAAGAGACAAAGAAGGACACTATCTCATGATCAAAGGGTCAATTGAGCAAGATGAAATAACCATAATAAATATCTATGCTCCCAATGAAAGAGCACCAAGATACATGAAGCAAACCTTACTAGAATTGAAGAAAGAAATAGATAGGTCTACAATTATAGTGGGAAATTTTAACACGCCACTCTTGAAAAGAGACAGAACAACCAGAAAGAAACTCAACAAAGTTACAGAGGAACTAAATAGCACAATCAACCAACTTGACCTCGTAGATGTATACAGAGCATTCAATCCAACAACAGCACAATATACATTCTTCTCCAGTGCACATGGACCATTTTCCAGAATTGACCATGTGCTAGGTCACAAAGCAAGCCTCCATAAATTTACAAACATCAAAATACTACAGAGCATCTTTTTAAACCACAATGCTATAAAACTAGAAATCAACACTAAGAAGACCAAGGAAATAAAGTCAAATACATGGAAACTGAACAATATCTTGCTGAAAAGCGACTGGGTAAAAGAAGAAATTAAATGTGAATTCACAAAGTTCCTAGAAACAAACGAGAATGAAAACACAGCATACCAAAATCTTTGGGACACAGCGAAAGCAGTGCTGAGAGGACAATTTATTGCGATTAATGTGCACATCCAAAAAGAGGAAAGAACCAAAATTAACACAGCATCCTCAACACTTAGAAGTAGACCAGCACAGGGAACCTATAGTCACCAGAAGAAAGGAAATACTAAAGATAAGAGCAAAAATAAATGAGATGGAAAACCAAAAAACTATAGAAAGAATCAACAGGACAAGAAGCTGGTTCTTTGAAAGGATTAATAAAATTG